TCTCCATTGAATGGTCTTGACCTTAAATGCATTCTGTGCTCTGTGTTCTATTCCACTGATCTGTATGTCTATCTTTATGCCAATATCATACTGTTTTGATTACTTTAGCTTAGTAGTAAGTTTTGGAATCAGGAAATGTGATTTCTCCAACTTTGTTCTTCTTTCTAAGATTGTTTTGACTATCTGAGGTTCCTTACAATTCCACATAAATTTTTGGATGAGTTTTTCTATTTCCGTAAAAAAATCACTGGGGTTTTGTTAGAGATTTGTATCGAATCTGCAGACTGCCTTGGGTAGTGTTGACCTCTACAATATTAAGTCTTCTAATCCATGAGCATGGGATATCTTTTCATTTATTTAGGTCTTCTTTAATTTATTTTGGTCATATTTTGTAGTTTTCATTGAACACTTCTTTCACCTCCTTGGTTAAATTTATTTCTAAGTATTTTATTCCTTTTTATGCCATTATGAGTGGAATTGTTTGCTTAATTTCCTTTTAGGATTGTTCATTGCAAGTGCATAAAAATGCAACTGATTTTTGCATGTTGATTTTGTATCCTATAACTGCTGGATTCTTTTATTCCATCTAACAATTTTTGTGGAAATTTTTAGGGTCTTCTACATATGATAAGATTATGTCATCTGTGAACAGGATAACCTTACTTTGTCCTTTCCAGTTTGGGTACACTTATTTCCTTTTCTTGCCTAAATGCTCTACTTAGTAGTTCTAGTGCTGTCTTGAATAGATGTGGCAAAAGTGTGCATCCTTGTCTTGTTTCTAATCTTAGTGGGGAAAGCTTCAGTCTTCCACCATTGAGTATGTTATTAGCTGTGGGATTTTCATGATATGGCCTTTAATGGTGGAAATTTCTTTCTATTCCTAGTCTATTGAGTGTTTTTTTATCATGAAAAGGTGTTAGATTTTGACAAATGCTTTTTCTTCATCAATTAAGATGATTGTGTAGTTTTTCCCTTCATTATTTTAATGTGGTAAATTATATTGATTGATTTTGGTATGTTGAACTATCATTGCATTCCAGAAATAAATCTCACTTGGTTATGGTGAATAAACCACTTAATACACTGTTGAAATCAATTTGCTAATATTTTGTTGAGGATTTTTGCATCTATATTCATAAGACATATTGATCTGTAATTTTCTTTTCTTGTGATGTCTTTATTGGGCTTTGGTATCAGCGTAATGCTGACCTCATAGAACAAGTTAGGAAGTATTCTCTCCTCTTTGGTTTTTTCGGAAGAATTTCAGAAGAATTAGTGTTAATTCTTCATTGGTGGAATTCACCAATGTTATTGGCATTATCAGCACCGTGCTCTAACCAACTGAGCTAGTTGGCCAGCTTTTCTGTTCCTTCATGCATCAGTTTTGGTAGATTGTGTGTTTCTAGGAATTTTCCCATTTTACTGAGGTTATCCAGTATGTTGATTTATGTTGGCTTTAGTTTTGTTGATTTTTTTCTGTTGTTTTTCTGTTCTCTATTTTTTTATTTCTCCTCTAATCTTTATTATTATTTCTTTCCTTCTGCCAGCTTTGGGTTTAGTTCACTCTTCTTTTACTATTCTTTCAAGGTATATAACTAAGCTATCATTTGAGAATTTCTTCTTTTTCAGTGTATGTATGTACATAAATTTCCCTCCTAGCATTGCTTTGGTTGTATCCATAACTTTTTGTACGTTTTTTTCCCATTTTCATTCATCTCAAGATATTTCTAAATTTCTCTTGTTACTGTTTGAAGTGTGTTGTTTTATTTCTACATTTTGTGAATTTTTCAGTTTTCCTTCTGTTATGTATTTCTAGTTTCATACCATTGTGACCAGAAAAGATACTTTGAGTAATTTTAGTCTTTTAAAATTTATTAAGGGGCCGGCCCAGTGGCGCACTGGATAGTGCGCCGCTTGGGAAGTGCGGCAGCGCTCCCGCCCGAGGGTTCGGATCCCACATACAGACCGGCTCCCGCTCACTGGCTGAGCGAGGCGTGGGAGCAGCACCGAGGTTTGCAATCCCGTTGCCGGTCCCTGGTCCGGTACGGGGGCAACACTGAGGGTTGCGATCCGTTGCCGGACATGGAAAAAAAAAAAAAAAATTTATTAAGGCTTATTTGGTGACCTAACATATGATGGGTCTAATTGGTTTATAGTGTTGTCCAGACCCCCTATTTCCTTACTGATTTGGCTGGTTGTCCTATCTATTGTTGAAAGTGGAGTAGATCTATCTAATTTCTCCCTTCAATTCTGTCAATTTTTGTTCCATATATTTTGGGAATCTGTTGTTAGGTGTGTGTATGTTTATGTTATGTCTTCTTGGTATGTCCCCTTTATCAAAATATAATGTTCTTCCTTGTCTTTTGTAATCTTTTTTGATTTAAAGTGTATTTTGTCTGACAATAATATATAGCTGCCTCAGCTCTCTTTTGGTTACTATTTGCATGAAATACCTTTTTCCATTATTTCACTTTCAATTTCTTTGTGTTCTTTGACCTAAAGTAAGTCTCGTAGGGGCTGGCCGGTTAATGTAGTTGGGTAGAGTGCAGTGTTACAACGCCAGGGTCAAGGGTTCAGATCAAACTGCCAAAAAATAAAATAAAGTGAAATTAAAATAAAGTTTACATCTCTTACAAACAGCATATAGATGAATCCTGTGTTTTAATTTTTTTAGTCCAATCTGCCAATTTCTGCCTTTTAATAGGACCGTTTAGTTTATTTATATTGAATATGATTACTGATAAAGATTTGCTTCTGCCAATTATCTGTTTATTTACTGTTTTATTTATTTTGTGTATCTGGAAATGGCTTGATTTCTTCTTTGTTATTGAAAGATAGTTTTGCTGGATACACAATTTTTTGTTGACATTTTTTTTTCTCTCAGGACTTTGAATACGTCATCTTGCTGCCTTCTAGAGCCTCTGTGGTTTCTGAGAACAAATCACTGTTAACCTTATCGAGGATCCCTTGTACGTGACAAATGGCTTGTCTCCAGCTGCTTTCACAATTCTCTCACTGTTCTCGGGTTTCCATAGTTTTATTGTAATGTGCCTTTGCGTGGGTTTCTTTCTGTTTTTCCTGCTTGGAGTTTGTTGAGCATTTTGAACATGTATATTCATTTCTTTCCTCAGAGTTGGGAATTGGGGGGTCCTTATTTCTTCACATATTTTTTCTGCCATTTTTTTTCTTCTCCTTCTGGAACTCTTATAAGCATATGTTGGTACATTTGATAGGACCCCACAGGTCCCTCTGGCCCTGTTCAATTTTCCTCATTCTTTTTTGGTTTTGCTCTGCAGAGAGTAATTTCAATGGTCTTATCCATTGAAATTCATTGATCCTTTCTTCTGCCTGCTAAAATTTGCAGATATCCCCCTCCAGTGAGTTTTTCATTTCAGTTATTGAAATTTTAGTTACAGAATTTTTGTTTGGTTCCTTTTTACAAAACAGACTATTTTTTTAGAGCAGTTTTAGGTTTACAGCAAAATTGATCAGAAAGTGCAGAGAATTCCATATACCCCTCTCTCTCCCGACAGTCTCCCCCACTATCAACATCCCCCACCAAAGGGGTATGTTTGTTACAATTGATGAACATACACTGACGCTCATTATCACCCAAATTCCATAATTCACATTAGGGCTCACTCTTGGTGGTCGACATTCTATGGGTTTGAACAAATGTATGCTGACATGTATCCATCACTGTAGCATCATACAGAGCAGTTCCACTGCCCTAAAAATCCTCTGTGCCCTGCCTAGTCATCCCTCCCTCCCCGCAACCCCTCACAACCACTGATCTTTTTACTGTCTCCATAGTTTTGTCTTTTCCAGGATGTCATTACTATGGTTTGGATGTGTCCATGTGTTGGACATTTAATCCCCAGTGCAACAGTTGAGAGGGAGAAGCTTTAAGAAGTGTAGACATATATAAAAATTCACCAGGTTGTATACTAAAGATGTGTGCACCAGGGCCGGCCCGGTGGCGCACTACTACAGTGCGCCGCTTGGGAAGTGCGGCAGCGCTCCCGCCGAGGGTTCAGATCCCACATACAGACCGGTTCCCGCTCACTGGCTGAGCGAGGGGTGGACGCAGCACCAAGGGTTCTGATCCCGTTGCCGGTCCCGGTCAGGTACGGGCGCGACACTGAGGGTTGTGGTCCGTTGCCGGACACGAAAAAAGACAAAAAGGAAAAAAAGGATGTGTGCACCTTACACACGCCATTGTGCATGTTTTATACCTCAGTAAAAAAGAAAAAGGGAAGGAAATGAACATCTACTGAATGCTTGCTGTATGATAGGCACTGGCTAGGTCTGCTTTTACAATTTTTATTGATTTAATGAACACCTACTATGTCCTAAGCACTGTCTAGATTCTGAGGACCCTGCAATGAACAAAAGATTAGGTTCAGTCCCTGCCACATGATGCTCACAATTAGCATAGGGGACAGTGTCAAATAGCCACACTCATAAAAGTAAAGCATTCACAGCAACAGTAAAGAGCGTTATGAGAGTGCAGAAGGTGGGGGCATGTCCTAGCCTGGGGGGAAGTCAGATATGCTTTTCTGAGGAAATGAAATTTAAACAGAGATCTCAAGGATGAGGAGAAAATAGCCAGTTGAGGGGCAGGGTGGGGGAAGAGCATTTTATGCAAAGGGAACAGCATGTGCAAAGGCCCAGTGGCAGGAAGAGGTGTGGCACATTAAGGAGGGCAGAGAGCAGGGCCAAGCAGGGCCAAGAAGGGCACAGCTGATGTGAGGGAGGGGTCCTCAGAACAATCATTTCACAGGTGGGGAAACTGAGGCTCAGAGAGGTGAGGTGACTGCCCCAGGTCACCCAGAAATTCAGCTGGGGTTGGAAGCCAGCTTTGTCTGGGTCCCTTCTGCTTACTGAGACAGAGAGAATGTCTCTGGGAATGTGAGCAGGAGAGGCCATCCGGTTCCAGTGAGGAACAAGAGGCCAGCCGCTGCTGCCGGCCAGCTGCCCTCACGCTCCCTGCCTCTCAGCTCCACAGGGCCTGTGGATGGGGGTGGCTATGGGATCCTGCCCCGAAGAGCAGTACTGGGATCCCCTGCTGAGCACCTGCATCTCCTGCAAACCCACCTGCAGCCATCGGAACCAGCGCATCTGTGCAGCTTTCTGCAGTGAGTTCTGGAGTCTGAGCCCAGGGGACAGCTGGATCACCCCTCTCACCTCCCCCCAGAGCTCCCTCTGGCCCCACTGCAGTCAGGTGCTGAGGAAGCGGTGCTGGAAGGAGACGTACCATGTGACAGCTCTTTACCCCTCGATCTTTCTGCTCTGATGCACTGCCTCCTTTTAGTTTCTTGAACATGCTGCATTTTTTCCTGTCTCAGGCCCTTTGCACATGCTGTTTCCTCTGCCTGGAATGCATTTCCCCATTCATGTTCCCTCAGCCACTCCTACCCAACCTTCCAGTCGCAGCCCAGATGGCAGAGGGCTTCTGTGACTCCTCAGCAGAAATCGGGCCCTCCTTTGTCTTTCTCTGCTGTTATTTTCTTTTGAAACTTTATTATAGAAATTATCAAACATACACAGAGAGGACAGCACAATAAACCCCTGTGTACTCATCATCAACTTCAAAAATCATAAAAATTCTACCTTTTTATTTTCCAACCAAATTTTTGCTTCTGTATTTTAAAGCAAACCCAAGACCTCATATCATCTTACCTGTAAATACTAGATCATGAATCCCTAATACATAAGGACTTTTAAAACATAATCTCAACACCTCATTACCCTCAGCAATAATTCCTTAACATAATCTAATACTCAGGTCATATCCAATTTTCCCTGATTGTCATGAAAAATATCTGATGCTTGCTGTTCTTTTTTATAACTTGTTCATTTCCTTGATAGAATCGACCACCATCGCTGTTATGTTCTTTTGTGTGTATTTGTTTCATGTCTGGCTCAACCACTAGATAGTGAGCTTCCTGAGCAGAAGGTTAGGGTTAGGGCACAGTGCTGAACACATAGTAAGTGCTTCCTACTGGTGGAGTGGAGCTCAGAGAGTCTGAGCGATTTACCCAAGATCACACAGCTTAAAAGTGGAAATGTCAGGATTTGAACCCAGGACCCTGACTCCAAAACCATGGCTCTGAAGCACTATTGATTAGCAAATTATAACATTCACTGTTTCATCCCACAATATATATATGGAACCCTCTAGCCCCGTTAAAATAGGAATCTGGCATGGCCCTTCAAGGAAGGTGTCATCCAATGGCAGAAATGAGAATATTTCAAAGCAAAAAGGGTAAGTACCATAAAAAGCCACAACTGGGAGAAGATACCTCCAGCCAATGGAGGAGAAAGCAGGGAAGTATTGTTGGAGGAAGTGCCATCAGAGATGGATTAAAAGTTTATAGGATGTGGAAGTCAGTTGTGGGGAAGGGCACCCTGGTTGAGGTACCAATGTAGGCAAAGGCATGGAGGTGGGAAAACACAACGGAGAATATCCAGTCCTGACACAGGAGAGAGGTTGTAAGGTCAGACAGGGAGGGTCAGTGGCCTGGAGCACTCAGGTGCCACCTGCAACACCCACGTTGGGGACACTGAGGAAGGGAGGAAGTCACACTGAACCCCTAGAACACCACTATTGGGCTAAGTCTGTATCCTGAGGGGCAGTGTCAGTCCCCATGCAGTTCAATGGAGCCCTGGGGGTGGGGCAGGGCCCCATCAGGGCCATCTGAGTCTTCCCTGAGGACACGATTCTACTATTCTTCTGGTCTTTACTCTGTCAAGGACATAAGGGTAGGTGTGTATTTGCATCATGAAGAGGCTAAAATAAATATTCTACTCAATCCTTCCATTAACTGAGCATTTACTATATGCCAGACACTGCGCTGGGCACATCGACTCTGCCCAACAGCCCTAGTAAGTCAGTATTGTTATTATCCCTCTCTTGGACATGAGGAAACAGAGGCATGGGGAGGTTAAGACTCCAAAAGGCAGAGTGAGGAATGTCCTCACCCCTGTTTGGCTTTGAAGTCTGTGTTCTTAACCACCATCCTGCACTGCCTCTGAAATGTGCCCTTAAAATGTGTGTGAGCCACATTTTCATATAAATAGGATCTTATTTTAAAGAAAAAGGACACTTGCCCCATGAAAATGAAAATATTCTAGGCATTCCATAAGGTAGATGATTGTTCTAAGTAGATTTCTTTATGCCTTCAATGCTAAGTCCTCTGTGCTCTCTTAAGGTAAGTGTGACTGGACTTTAGTTTGCTTGGCTTCTGCTCCTTTGCACTGATACCTGTTTAAGCTGCTGTAACTCTCATTTACTATTAAGAAGGAAGAAACACTATTAATGTGAGCTTTCCCACCTTCCTTCCAGCCCCCTCCCCCAACTTGCCAAAGAGGATTCTGGCTTTTCCCCTTCATTTCTTATGCTAATTCTAAATATGTTTCTCCTTAAAGAGGTTTTAAAATGCAAATAAAGCCCTTATGTAACAATGTAATAATCAAATTTTTAAAATATCAATTTAAAAAGATAACTAGAAAATCCCTAATGTATGGAAACTAAGAAATGCCCTTTTAAATAATCTATTGGTCAAAGAAGAAATAATAAAGAAAAGTAAAAACATTCTGGAAAATACTGCATATCAAAATGTGTGCAGTGCAGCTAAAACAGCACTTACAGGACAATGTATAGCCTTCCATTTATATACTGTAAAAGGACCTGAATTACTCTGTATTGGTTTTTGGGAGTTGGACTATGATTTTTTTCCTTTGATGTCTGTTGAGGCCAGACCCTGCAGGCCTCTGTCACCCAGTCACATCATGCATTTCTGTCTCCCAGAGTCACTCAGTTGCCGCAAGGAGCAAGGCAAGTACTACGACTATCTCCTGAGGGAGTGCATCAGCTGCGCCTCTGTCTGTGGCCAGCACCCCAAGCAGTGCATGTACTTCTGTGAGAACAAGCTCAGGAGCCGAGTGAACCTCCCACCAGAGCTCAGGAGACAGCAGAGTGGAGAGTCCGAAACCAGGTCAGACAACTCAGGAAGGTACCAGGCATCAGAGCACAGAGTCTTGGAGGCAGGTCCAGGTAAGCCACCAGAGGTTGGCTTGTGTGGTGTCTGAGGGTCAGAATGGGTAGGAGGACAGGCACTAGGCCTATGTAAGGGGAGCTACAATGCAGGAAGCCCAGAGTCCAGGCAAATGGCTAGAAGCCAGGGGGGTCGTCCCAGGATAGAAAAACAATTCAGGAAAAATTTCCAAAAGACTGTGGGCAAGAAGGAAGCAGAATAAGGGACCTGACAGGTGAGAGGGAGCCTTGTGATGGAGGCTGCTGAGGCTGGCTGAGTCTTTGAAACATCAGACAGTAAGTAACCAGCAGACCTGCCTCTGTGAACACTGTGTCAGGAGCCACCACCTGCCTCCCTGGATTGCAGATTCCATGGAGAGGCAATGGAAGCTTCTAAGAATGAGAAGGAAAAGGTATTACTAAAAAAGTTCATAGTGGGAGATGGCCACTTTGGACATGATTAGAAAGGTCCTGTTGAGCTGGGCATCTCCTAAGTGCCAGGCATTGAAAATGATCTAATTAATCCTCCCAGCAAACACCTCCTTGGCTCACCTACCCTGCTCTGTGGTGTCGGAAAAGACAGGAGGGGAATGCCGTGTGGATCCATAAATATTTGAGGTGGCATTTGCACCACTCTTGGCTGCCCGTGGAGAGACAGCAGGCCTGCAGTTCCCAGGGAGCTGATGGTTTCTTTCCTGTACCGTGACTTTCCTTGTGACAACATCATTTCCGTGAGGCCAGTCTCCAGCGCCAAGACAGCAGAGGGCAGGGCTCATGTGCCCTGCTGATGGAGGTGGCCTGACCCCAGTGCTACTCATTATTTATTTTTTTTTTTTTGAGGCTGGCTGGTCCGGGGATATGAAACCTTGACCTTGGTGTTACACAACACTAACCAGCTGAGCTAACTGGCAGGTCCTGGCCTGTCGACTCTTGTCTGCTCTCTTGTCGGTTAGCTGTTGCTGCGTAGCAAACTGTTCCTGTACTCAGTGGCTTACGATTCTTCATGAGTCAGGGTTTGGCTGGCGTCAGCTGTGTTAGGCCGGCTTCTGGGGTGGCCCTGCCCATGTGTCTGTCATTCTCCTCCTGGGACCAGCGGGCCAGTCAGGTGTGTCCTTCATGTGATGAAGGCAGGAGTGTAAGACACACAAGGCCTCCTGCCACCTCAGTGGGGAACCTGCTTTGCAGTACTGCTGCTGAATGCTATTACCCAAGTCACAAAGCCACTGGGATCCAGGGAGGGGAAACAGACATCACCTCTTGGTGGGAGAAGTGGCAAATAATTTGTAGCCATGGTGAGTTTGTGGCCAGGTTTAATGTAGCACAGCTTCTCGTGTGAGGAACTGCAGATTCACGTGGCAGGGGACATGGATACAGAGGGATGACAAACTCGGTCATGAAGGCGAGTGGCTGTGCCTGCCCCTCTGCTGTCTGGTGACCCATATGCCTTCCCTGCATTCAGTGATGCAACTGATTCTTCTTCCAAACCTCTATTTTCCCACCTTCAATGCAAAAGATCCCCCTTTGGGCCAATCCTACCTGCTTTATAGATGGAGAGACCGAATCTCAAAATTTGGAATGACTCACACAGTGAGTGCCTGGCTGAGCTGGGATTCAAACCCAGTCTGTGGGTTCTAAAGTTTGTCCACCCTGCCAGAGCAAGATGACCCAGAGCAGCAAGTGTAGGGTTATTGCTCCCTGAGGGTGAACTGTCGCCCCTGTGACAAGGTTAGCCACTGCCCTGCCCTGTGTCTCTCTAGTGGTCAGGGGCTAAGGTCTTCTCTGCCTCTCCTCTGACATCTGGTGGGGCAGGAGACGGGCATGGTGTGGACTGTAAACAGAAAGTACCAGGGCCACACTGGATGTGGACCTGTTTGAGAACAGGGAGCAGAGGACACTACATGACCAACTTGCATCCAGCTGTACACAGTGGAAGGGCTGATCTGTCCCTTGTTCCCTTCGTGGGCTCCCTGAATCCTGCCATCCCCCCACTCACCCTCCTACCCAGCCAGGCCCCACCTCAAGCCCACCCCAGGTTTCCCATGCATCTTTCTCAGCACTATCCTTCCTTCATTTGACACATAGCTATGGAGGGCTTGCTGTGCATGGGCGAGGTGGCAAGAGCAAGGCAGATCCTATCCTTGACCCCCTGGAGCTCATGGCCTAATGGAGAGACAGACAGTGGACAAGACTTGTGCAGATGATAAATTGATCTCAGTGCAGGACTGGGTGAAGTGGGGGGACGGATGGCTTCCCCAGGGAGAGGGCTGTAAGGCACACTGAGGTGGTGGTGCAGAGCTGGACCTCTGGCTCATCCCTCACTAGCTGTGTGGGCTGAGGTAAGCTACCTACCCTCTCTGAGCCTTGGTTCTGTGAATCAGAGGCTGTGTGCTTCCATGGAGTTGTTGTTGGGGATTGTAAGGGAGAGTACACATCAGGGTCCGTGAGTGCTCAGCACACAGACCCTGCTCACTTACACAGGATACACGTGCTGAAGGGGCAAGGCGCAGGCAGGGTGCTCCAGGCAGGCGAGGAGCGTGTGCAAACGCTGTGAGGGGAGGGGCTGTGAGTAGTTCTGTGCTAGAGGCTGAGCATCTGCGGAGGAGGAGACTGAATCCCTGCATCAGAGGCTCTCATCCTGGGGGCAGTGTGGTGGCCACTCTGCAGAAGCAGGGGGGACCCCCACCCAAAATCTGTTTTGAACATTGACACTGATGACTCCACATGCTCACCAAGAGGGCATGGAAGGCTTGTTACTCACATAGGGAGGCTTTGAGGGGTGAGCAGGGCAGGCCTCCCAAGCTCTCTGAAAGTGGCTTGAGATAGCCAGGAAGAGACTGGTCTGGAGCTGCACTGTGGGCAGGGGATGGCCAGGTGAGACTTGCCATGTGTGGCAAGGGGCTTACGTGATTTGGATCTCCCATCGGTGCCAAAGGAAGGAGCGGCCAGGCTTTCTTAGCTTGCCCAGATGTGAGGCAGAGGGGAAGAGAGATGGGGGAGGCTTAGAAGCCTCAAACATCAAAGTGTGGAGTCAGACTCTACTCTAGAGAGAGGGACAAGCAGACACCTCCAGCCCACATGATGAGCTCCCTGCCATGGGCTGGGGCACAGTGGATGGAGCGGCTGCCTCCGAGGGGAGCGGGTGGCCCACAGGAGCCCCGTTCCCCTAGGTGAAGGGTGCAGAGGACTGAGACAGGACCGGCAAGCATTCAGAGGTGGCAGGAGGTGGCACCAGAAGTGATGACCTCATCCCTTCTGATCTCCAGGATGATCTCATCTCCAGATCCTTAATTATATCTGCAAAGACTCTTTTTTCCAAATAAGGTCACACTTGCAGGTTACGAGAGGACATCTCTTTGGGGCCCACCATTCAACACTGGATAAAGGGCAAGGATGTTCACAGGGCAGGGACTCTAGAGGGACGAAGAGCTCTGAGTTGGGACCCCCATGGGAGGGGATGCCAGTCTTGGGGCAGCCAGAACTACCCCATGGGTCTGGAGCTCTGGGAAGAATCTCCCTGGGATAACTTGGATTTCCTTGGCCTAGAAGGTGGCAGTTGAAGTCACAGGGGTGGAAAAGGTTGCCCAAGGACCAGGGAGGTTTGAGGAGAGAAAGGAACTGAGGAGGAAACCCGACATGGAGGAATCTGCATTTGAGGGGTGTGTAGGGGAAGAGGGTCCCACAGAGATGCCAGGAAGGAGAATTCAGGGAGGTCAGGGGAGAACCAGCAGGACTGTATGTCCATAAAAGCAGACAAAGGTGAGGGCTGGCCCACAGCTCACTTGGGAGAGTGTGGTGCTGACAACACCAAGTCAACGGTTAAGATCCCCTTACTGGTCATCTTAAAAAAAAAAAAGCAGACAAGGTGGAAAGTTCTAGAAAGAGTAGTTAACAGCACAGAGAAGGGGCCTCATAGGTCTCCTGCAAATGGCCCCCAGCTCTGGCCACAAGGAGGCCAGGGGATGCTGTCTTTCAGAAGTCCCTGGGTTGAGTTTGTCCTTGGCAGGTCTGGGACAACCTCTCTCACTGGCCCTGAGGCTGACAAGCCAAGACCCTTCCTCTGCCCTTTCCCCCTTAGACTAGGCATTTCCCAGTCCCTTCATGTCTTCTGGCTCATGTGAACCCAGCTCCACCAGACATATGTGGCTGGGGCGGTGCAGCACCTCGAGGGCCCCATTTGTTCCCAAACAGTTAAGGTTGCCCAGACCCAGGGGACCTGGCCTCCTCTGGAAGAAGATCGGAAGGGACGTCCAGGGAGGTGAGCAGAGCTGGAGGACCCTGGTGGTGGGTCTGGTGGGAGGTCAGTAGGACGTGGGGTCTGCTCTGGGGGCACAGAGCAGGTGTCTCATGTGAGGATCGCAGCTTTCAGCCCTTTAAGTTGGGGCCTGGCTCTGACCTCATCGGAACAAAAAGGGGCCCAGCGCTTTTGTTCCAGGAATTGCTCCAGGTCGTATGTATTTTGGGAACTAGAACTAGACAGAGTGGCCTGGTTGCTGGTTTTTTGCTTGCTTTTTATTTGTGTAGCTCAGGGTCCGGAGCTTTTCCTTTTTCTTTTGTCCTGCCTGCACCATGTGAGGTCTCAAAGGAGGCAGAACAACACGTGGGTTTTGCTCCCCCCAGGGACCTGCTGAGATGGGGTGGGGGGCAGAGGCAGGGGAGCAAGGAAAGGAGGTGACTGGGAGATTCGGCTGTGGAGGGAGGGCAGAGAAAGGGCAGAGCTGGAGCAGGACGCAGCTCAGGCGCACTGACTGTTTGTCGCTTCACTGGAGGGACTTGGGCAAGTTGAAAAGCAAGTGGGCACGATCCCGGTGCTGCCCAGAGGGCCTGAGGGCGGGAGCATCGGTAGAAGTCTACATCCCCCTCCCGATGTGGCCATGACTGCCCCTCTCCCACCAGCGGGATGGAGGTCCACTCTCAGGAGAGGTGGCCCCAGAAAGACTCGGGGACCCCAGGCCCTGATGAGGGAGGTGGGTGGAGTGGGAGATGCAACATTCTGGAAACAGGGGTTTTAGTGAAAGTCCACCCATCAAGTGTGAGACCTCCTTTTGCCTCCCACCCTTTCCCGTACTTACACACACGCACACATGTGTGCACATGGAGGATGTGTGCAGGGAGGGAGGTCCTCGCCATCAAGTGTGAGACCTCCTTTTGCCTCCCACCCTTTCCCGTACTTACACACACGCACACACGTGTGCACATGGAGGATGTGTGCAGGGAGGGAGGTCCTCGGTGGGGAAGGCCCACAGATCCAAACATTTGGAGGCCCCCCGACAACCTAACAGTGAGGCCATTAGCACACCAGGAAAGGCCCTCTGAGCACGAACATTCGACTGAGCGCCGCCAGCACATGTAGAACTTGAAGGAAGCAGAGACAATCCAGCAAGAGAGGAAGCCAAGGGCAGGACGGAGAGACCAGGGTGCCCATGGACCGTCTCCCAGATAGGAAGCTCCCCGAGCCACCAGCTGTGTGCTGGAGTCTTCCCTGAGGCAGGGGAGTGGCGGCGTCAGGCACCAAGTGTCAGGGCCCCACAGCTACCCTAGCCCGTGCTCTGTCCACCTGCCTCAGCCAGGCTCCTTCCTGTGGACACCCCCTTGCTACCTGGGCCGTAGAGGCGTGGGGATGCTTGGTGACTTTCCACCTAGCCCTGGCTGCCTCATATGCATCTACCTGTGTTATCTCATGGATGCCAAACGCCCAGGCGGACAGATAGGAATGCCATACCCCGTTGTACAGATGAGGAAACTGAGGCCTAAAGAAGTTGAGTAAAATATGCAAAGCCACATCCAGTTGTGGCTGCAGAGCCCGGCCTTAAAATCACCATGCCTCCCTGCCCTCTCTTGCATCCGGCTGAGGCCTGGCCAAAAGGGCCCCTTTACTCTGCCCCTACATGGCAAGTTATAATACTGCTCAGCTAGCCAGCCCAGCCTGAGCTGGGGGCAGCAGCAGGCCGGGGAAATTCTGTTTTTAGATGAGAGATGGCTTTGGAAACAGAAAAAAACCAAAACCAAAAAAACAACAATCGAATTAGTAATAGACTTTGTGTGGGGCCGGCCTGGCTGTCAGAAGCTGTGTGTGATGGTGCCCCCTGGTGGTAGTACGTGGGAACTGCGCCTCCAGGGGCCGTCTCCCGGGACTTGAGTTTTGGACAAGGACGGAGAATGCATCCCTTTTTCTGATGAAAGCTTGGGACTGTGTCCCTTTGCTCCCGGGGAACAGCAGACGGTGAACTCCAATGGGGGCCAGGCTTGGCCTCTTCTGATGGAGGTCACAGAGGCTGACAGATGGCAGTTCCGAGGTTGTGGACCCAAGTGACCTTCATGATGGGCCAAAGGGGACCAGAGAACTAAGACATGTGCCCCCGTCCCCTGCCCCTACCCCCAGTAGCCACAGAGCGTGGCTGAGCCCATCAGGCTGGCTTTTCTGTCAGTGGCCCTGAGAGCCGCTGGAACTCTGCTTTGTGACTTCCCATCCCTCCTGGTCAGCCTTTCACATGGTTCTTTAGGAGCGTGGGCTACCGGAGCAACTTTTAGGTGTTTTTCTGTTTTGGGCAGGTGGCACACATACATCATTAAAAAAAGAGGATATTTAAAAAAAAAAAGGATTGGAGAAAAGTCTCCACACCGCTCCCAGCCTCCCAGTTTCTCTCCCCAGAAACAATGACCATCAGCAGTGAGTGTCCTGTCTGTCCTTCCATACATAATCTTACATGAGGCATCGTCACATCCCTCACCTGCTTTACGCCAGTGGTGTCCTCCGCAGTGCCCACGTTGCTGTCTTCACTCTACCTCCTGGCGATGGTTCAGTCTCAGGACACACGGATGCGCCTCATTCCCTGCAGTGACAGTGTAGTACTCCGTGTGCCTCATGGACGTGCCACAGTTCTTCTGTCCCTGTCCCTACTGGCGGACAACTAGGCTGTCTCCAGTCCTTCACTCTGTGAACAATGCTCAGGGGACGTATGGGAGGGGAGGGGACATATGGGAGGTGAGGGGACATAGCCCTAGAAGTGACACTGATAAGACAGCAGGGATCAGGAAAGTGCATTTGAAATGGTGGCAGATGGTTCCAAACAGCCCTCCAAAGAGGCCACCCCCAGCAACAGTGTGTGAGGTGCCCATTTTGCCACACCCTTGTGGGACAGGTGGAAAGTGACTTTTTTTGTAGTTTTAATTTGCATTTCTCTCCTGAGTCCAGGGGCTTTGAAAAAGCATGTCTCGTGAGCAGGTCTCCAGGCAGGGACTGTTTCTCATTTCCCATAGGAAACCTCAAGTCCTTGGGCTGGGAGGAGAGGAATGAAGAGAAGCTGGGGGAGTTCTTTACTCCCTTCAGAGCAGAGAGTCTCTGTGTGGTTGTCCTCTGAAGCATCCAAAAACCACCCAACACTAAGTGCCCTAAAGTAGCAGCCATTTTATTATCTCTCACTGTTCTGTGGCATGACAGGGCTCAGCTGGGCGGATCTTCTGCTGGTCCTGCTCAGGGTCTCTCATGCAGTCGCGGGGGCAGATGCTGGGACGGCTGGGCCTCGCTTCTCCTCCATCTTGTCTCAGGGCCTGTCCCTCTCTATGTGGCCTCCCTGTGTGGCCTCTCTAGCTGGACTTCTCACATGGTGGCTCAGGACTCCCAGGAGAGCAAACACTGAGGCTGCCAGGACTTCTTATTTATTTATTTATTTATTTTTTGGCAGCCAGCTGGTACAGGGATCTGAACCCTTGACCTTGGTGTTACAACACTGTGCTCGTCCAGCCCTGCCAGGGCTCCTTACGGTGTTGGGCCAGGACTGGCACAGAGTTGACTCTACCACATTCTGCTGGACAAAGTGAGGTCCAGCTCTGCCCAGATTTGAAGGGAGGGGATTCCACAAGGGCATGAAGTCTGGTGGCCGTTCCGTGGGGACAATCTCTGAACACTCACTGGCACAGTCTCGCAGGGTGGTGTGGGTGTGAGAGTCTCATGCTGAAAACATTTGAAAAACATGAATGTTTAGTCTTCCTCATTGAATCAACATGGCAATTCGATTTGCTCAGTAACAGTCTTTTAGCCTGTCATTCCGTCCGTCTGCCATGAAGGCTGCTGGTTTCTCCATGTGGATCTGGCCAGTATGATGGTTTCCTTTTATTCCAGAGGTGAATGGGAGCAGGTTAGCCTCTGTCTCTAGATGTGTGTGGGGCATGCCCCATTGGGGGGGGTCTTTGCTCCCCTCCCCGATGGAGTCTCTGAGCTCTGGGCATGGGACTCCAAGGACAGTGCCTTGGCCTGGGGTGTGTCGCCAGCTCACTCAGACCTCCTGTCTCCCCTCTGTAAATGTCAGGTGACACCAGATGACTGCTAAGAGTCCTGCAGCGCCGTCACTTTATACAGCTCCTGACCTGAGAGCATGTGTAAGAGAGAGGGTAGGGCCCACCCCATGGCCTCTGTGTGGCATACTGGCCAGGAGCACCGGCCAGGGCATCAGTCAGACCTGCTCCCAGTTGCAGGCCTGAGACTGAGAACAATGTGACTTTCAGACTCAGTTTTGTCGTTTGCAAAATGGAGTGTGAAATGGTGAGGGCGCTGTGGAAAGCAGCCTGGCAGTTCCTCACAAAGTTAAACTGAGTTGTCATGTGACCCAGCAAGTCTCCTAGGTAGGCACGCAAGAAAATGGAAACACATCCATACAAAAACTTGTGCGTGAATGTTCATAGCAGCAGCGTTCACAGTGGCCAAAAGATGGCAACAACCCAACTGTCCATCACTGGTGAGTGGATACACAGCCTGTGCTCTGGCCATACAACGGAATGTTGTTCAGGCATAGAAAGGAATAATGTTCTGATCCACGGCACGACGTGGATGAACCGTGAATACATGATGCTAAATAAAAGAAGCCAGACCCAAAAGGCCACACAGGGTATGATTCCATGTATATGAAACATCCAGAACAGGCAAATCCAAAGAAACAGAAAGTGGATAAGCCCCTTGCCAGGGCCTGAGGGGAGAGGGAATGGAGACTGACTGCTATTGGGACAGGGTTTGTTTTTGAGTGATGGAAAGGCTTTCAAATTAGATAGCAAGTGGATAAGCCCCTTGCCAGGGCCTGAGGGGAGAGGGAATGGAGACTGACTGCTATTGGGGACAGGGTTTGTTTTTGAGTGATGGAAAGGCTTTCAAATTAGATAGTGCTGATGGTTGCACAACCTTGTGAACATGCTAAAAATCACTGAACTGTACATTTTTAAATGATGAATTTGATGGTATATAAATTATATCTCAATTTTTCATATGAGGTACTCAATCCTCTGTTGGAGCAGGAGGATTAAGGAGGATTTTTGTACAGAAAGTGCCAGACACTCAGTAAGGGCTCAGTTAGAGGTCCATGTCATGAGTACATTATACTCACGTTATGTTAAATCTAACTTGACTGTCTTTCCACCCCAGGGCCTGGGGGATGCCCCAATTCCAGGGATTAGGAAAAGCTTGGGATAAGGAGGAATTTCAAGGGGACTGCTTTGGCCCCGGCTGAGTCCAGGCTCCCCATCTCCCCTGGTCTACACATGCGGCCCAGACTCAGTGATTTCCCTCATCCTACTCCCAAAGCATATGCTCACTCAGGAAGGCTCCTCCCTGGAGGAAAGGCCCAGTCAGGACAGACAGAGTCATCCTCCCTGCACACTTGTCCATTCATTCATCGGGCCACCTCTGGCACTGTCCCCGTCTACATCCCCAGAAAGTAGCAACAACAAAAACGGCTAGCCTGAGAAGTGCTCGGCTTTGAGGTCGTGAAGAAGTTGCTGTGCATAGGCAGGACGGGTCACACTGCAGAGGGGGTCAGTTTCCTCCAGGATCCAGAGAGCATGAGGGTGGGTGTGGCTGTGTGGACTGCTGGAGCCTCCCGAGGGGGAAGGAAAGACCACGGGTGCGGCTGCACGAGGGGACCTGGGGTCTGCTGCTGGCCTGAGGGGGAGGGAAGTTGCCTCCTGAACTCAGGGTGTCCCTGCTGTCTTGCAGTGTCCCCAGGGCCGAAGCTGAGCGCCGATCAGCTGGCGCTGGTCTACAGCACTCTGGGGCTCTGTCTCTTCGCTGTCCTGGGCTGCTTCCTCCTGGCGGTGACGTGCTTCCTCAAGAGGAGAGGGGAACAGTTCTCCTGCCAGCCCCTCCCAGGCCCCTGTCGAACCCAGGCCAAGTCCTCCCAGGGTGAGTGCGCGAAACCGGGCGTGCCCTTCTCATGGCTGCCGTCCAGCCTCGGGCCATCCCGCGGTCCTGTCGCTGTCCCAGCTTCTGGGTGGAGAGCATTTTGCCAGATCTTCCCGGGAGAGGTCTGGGGTGCAGCCCTGTAGTATTTGTCTATGGTGGAAAATCAGGTTGAAACATCTCAGCAAGAAGAGAGAGCCTGCAGCTGCGGAAGGGTGGGTGTAGGGTGGCCGGCCATCGGGTTGGCCGGGGTTTGGGGGGTTCCCAGGACGCAGGGCTGTCAGGGCTAGGACCGGGAGGAGGCGGTCACCCTGGGGCGTGTGGCCGGCTTGGGGCGCGCCCAGCTTTGCAAACCCGCCCCTGCACAGGCTGGGACCGGCCTGGGGGCGGCCGGGCCGGTGGTTGTCCCTAGCTCCTGGATCGGGGAGATTCCCGGAGCCCCAGCAGGGGACCCTGGGGCTGGGCGCGCGGGGAGCCGACGCCCTCCCCTTTGCCCCCGCAGAGCACGCGATGGAGGCCGACAGCGCCGCGGA